ACTAATTAATATTATAAAATATCTAACATTTTTCACTCATTGGTATTACATATGTCTATTGTACTCAAGAAAAATATTTATTTTATAAATTTTTTATTTGATAATATTTTTTGCCATGATGGTCACATTTCATTACATTTTTAAAGATAAAACTTCAATAGTATTATAGAATTAGTGCTAGTGTAAGTGGGATATTTTCTCATATAAATGGTATATTTATTACTAAATACTATTATGCTACTACTAAAACTTGATATACTTTTATAAAAATTAGAAATTTTAATTATTAATTAGATAATATAGTACTTAAAATATAGGAAAACCCTATAAATTATTTATAAACCTAATTATAAAGTTTTTGTTTATAGTTTTTATTATATGGTACACAAGTTAATAATATTACTTTTATTTTTATTAGTTGCACCATTTTGACTTTGTGATTGTTAAATCAAATTCAATAATTTATAATTTTTTTATTAATTTTAATCTAAATTGAATTATATCCTAATACATACTAAAAGTATGTTAATATAATTATACCAAAATTTAAATGCAAGGATACCTATTAAATAATATGCTGATACAATTATATCAAACTTTTTAAATTTATTGAAAGCAAAGCATTGCATATTACATAAAAGTTATGTTTATTCATTATGGTTATTTATTAATATCTTTAAATAGAGATAAATGTATTATAAATAATAAACTATTGTTTTTATTAATCACTATTATTTTTCACTAGATAAAAATTTTAAGGGATACAAGGTTAGTTTGCATGCTTTTCAAGAGAACTCTCAAATTATTTATTAATAATTTATAAAAAACAATGAATTATCTAGAACTAACAATTCAATAAGTATAGAAAATCATTAAAAATTTATTTATTTTAAAGAATGTGATACTTATCATTGGTTTCTGATTAATAATATATATATATATTATAAACTAAATATAAGATATTAACTAACTATTAATTATGGAAAACTCTAATTGTATTTATATCAATTTGCAGTGGCATGGAAAAAATTATGTAAATTTTTCCCATTTTGGAAATCAATAAATTTTACATCTTTCAAAGAGAAATAAAGTCATTTGCTATTCTATATAATATTTCTAGAGGTCTATAATTGATCACAAATAAGAAATTTAAAAATCATTTTACATAGAAATCCGAATTACTTCATCTCAAAATTTAAGAATCATATAAATTTTCCTTGTGAAAATTTCATTTTCCAAACCTTCACAATTGCATAAACCAACAACAATGAGTCCTTAGTGATGTGGTTTAAAATTATTAACAATAATAACCTTGATCATTCTTAGAATATTCTCAAACTATTTCAAGTTGAAAGATTTATTAAAGGTTTAAACTCAAAACCTTGACCTAAACTTAAAAAAGAGGTTTTAGGGCTATTAGAGGGCATGGCGTCGATGCTGTTTGGCGATGATCCGGATCCACTGCCGCTGTGGTTCAAGAAGGATGCATTCATGGATCCGGATTTCGACTGCGACGCCCACATTTCCAGCCTGCGCAGCTTCGTGCCGCTCGAGGCGCTGCGCGGCGAGCTGCGCAGTCACCTTGCAGCGCTCAAGAACGAGCTCGTCGAGCTCATCAACAGGGATTACAACGATTTCGTGAGCCTCAGCACCCAGCTCGTGGATGTGGACGGTGCCGTGCTCCGGATGCGCACGCCATTGCAAGAGCTGCGAGGTAAGCTCGTCACCGTGCGCGATGGTGTCGATGGAGCGCTGCTCGCGCTCCAGGACGCGCTCAAGCGGAGATCCGAGGCCTCCGCGTCGCGGGAGATTCTCGAGTTGCTGCTCGACACCTCTCATGTGGTTTCCAAGGTAAGATCGAGTGGAACGAGTCCTTTTATTTCGATTCCTAGCTTGCTTGCAGATCGAGAAGCTCTTGCTGGAGCTCAAGGAAAATAGAATTTCCAATGGAAATCTAGTGAGTGGCAGTGAAGGATCTCTGGATCCGGTCGACAACAGTGGTGACGACCCACGGAGTCGATTGTTGGAGCGAATTGCAAGTGAGATGAATCGTCTAAAGTTCTATGTTGCCCGCGTCCAGGTGAAGTTCTCTTTTTCGGAAAAGGTGACACTTATCTTTCTTGTCAACATTTCATTACAGGACTTGCCGTTTATCAAAACCATAGAAAAGAGGATCCAGAATGCCGATGCCTCCTTGAGAGAAAACTTGGAGAAGTGTATTAAAACGGGGCTGGAAAGGCGTGACGAGAAGGTTCTCTACCATTGTCTACGTGCTTATGCGGCTATTGACGACACTGCTGGAGCTGAAGAGGCTTTTCGTATCACAATTGTGGCACCTTTTGTCTCCAGGATTTTTCCTGGGAATTCTTCCAAAGACTTGGTGGGTGGAGGAGCTGCGGACAAGCTGGAGGAAGACTATAAACAGGTCGAGGCGCATATTGCTCGAGATTGTAAGTTCATGTTGGATATCGTAGCGTCTGGTAAGCTTTCCAAATGCGTTTTTCTTTTTTCGCTCGTTTTCTTATGGTCTCGTTTCTTTTCAGAAAACTCTGGACTTAATGTGTTCGATTTTCTTGGAAACTCCATTCTTAAAGAAGTGCGCTCAGCGATAGTGGCAGGCAAGCCTGGCGCACTATCACCTGGGAAACCAGCAGAGTTTTTGGCAAATTACAAGTCAAGCCTGAAGTTTCTATCGGTAGTAGAAGGTATGTAGCTTGGGTTTTGCTAAGAAAGACCAACTCAAGCATATCAATTTCAGGATACTGCCAGTCACAAGCGGCGGTTCTGGCTCTTCGTTCTCAAGCAAGCTATGCTGAATTCGTGAAGCTTTGGAACTTGCCAGCTTATTTTACCCTGCGGTACGTTTTTCACTTTGGAAGCTTATCAATGCATTCAGACTCGACCCGTAAAGTTTTCAGGAAATTGCAAGCTCTTTTGATCAAACACTCACTGAAGGCCTAAAACGGTGCCAGGAGAGCGATTTTGCATTCAAGTCCAGTGATAAGCTCCTTGAATGTTTGCAGCGTTGCTGGGATGAGAATGTGTTTGTTTCATCACTCTCGGACAAGTTTTTGAAACTAAGCCTCCAGCTGATCTCCAGGTACTACGTAATTCTTTCGTTGCTCGAGTATAACAAGCATATGCAGGTATGCACGATGGCTTTCTGCTGGTATGGCGTCACGAAGTGCTGCTGATACCAGTTCGTGGGCAACTTCGGCGTCTTCGGAAGACATTCTTTTGGTATATAAAACTTGCGCTTTGCTTGGTCTTACGTTTGTTTTGTCCGCAGCTCAGGCATGACGTTGAGCTTCTCCATAAAAAACTTACAGGATCCTACTTAGATTACGCTTTGGGAGTTCTCGGTCCAACCTCGGCAAATCTCTCCCAAAAAAGCATTCTCTCCGCGGCGCAAAATCTTCTCGACGTTGTTCCAGTACTCACGGATGTACTGACGGACACACTGGCTGATAAGTGTGTCGAGGTTCGTACCATGGGCTGGAGGCGTGCTTGGTCCGCTTAACAATTTGTGTGTTTTTTTTTCAGGAGCTCAAAAATCTGAAAGGAATCACAACGACGTACCGCTTGACGATCAAGCCACTTCCAACTCACCATTCACACGTTGCAACAAATCTTCTACAAGCTCTGAGGGTACAGATTCGTCCCCGAAAGTTTTCTCCACGGTCTAATATTTTCTCGCTGGGACTTGCAGGCTTTTCTTCAAGGAGACCATAACGCCTACATGTCAGATGCCTGCCGCTTGGAAATACTTAACTCTGTGGCGAAGAAGGTGACAAAGAACTACGATCAGCAGATTCGGGATCTCGTCGAAGGGGTAAACATCGTTGACAAAGCTGTGACGGGAAGAATGACAATCGTTTTCTTTTGTTTTCATTGGAATCCAGCTACGGAAAACGGAGTCATCCCTGTTGAGATTTCGACAAGCACGGCAGAGAACGGGCGCTGGACCCGATGCAAACGATGCCAACATCTCAAACACGGACAAAGTCTGCGCGCAGCTCCTCCTGGACGTCCAGGTATTCTAGCTTGGTCTTTCTTTTCCAAAAGCCTGAGCTTTGTTGTCTTTGAAGGAACACGGCCGAAAACTGGATGAACTTGGTGTCGATTCTTCAAAGCTGCCAGAGTTTCAATCACTGTGGGAATTTGTCTCTCTCCAGGAGAAGCCACACTCGTAGCGTTGCCCGTCAATGAAGGTCCTTTTCAATCTTCTTTTCTAAAGCGATTTCAAGCCACGCACTGGAGATTGGGTAAGTGGAAGTTCCATTGAAACGCCAACATCATGCCATCTATTGTTGACAAGGAATAATTTATATATTGTCCTTTACGAATTTCAGGCAAGAAAATAAAATAAACTTCATTCAGGCTATAAAATTTGGATCGAAAACTTTTGGTTCTTTCCATAGACAGTAGGCTGTCAAGCTCTAGAACTCTTCTCGACGCTACGTCCACGTCACGGTGACGTGTCACGACAGCTCAGCCGCCGTTGGTTCCAATCATAACAAGGCCAATGTATGTACCGGACCTTCATATGAATGAATCATATTGTCACACACCACAAGAAAAGCTGGCAGTGACCGTAGGCGTAGAAAATACCCTCCGCTTTGAAAGGTATTGCTTCCATCATGCTCTGCGAGGATCGAACCTGCCACCTCCGGGAGCCGTTACCCCAGGTAAAACCCACCATTTTTACTCGGGCCGGGTACCACTAGATTCTCAACGGGCAAGAAGAAATTACGCACACACTTCTTGATTAAACAGAGGTAAAGCGTGAAGCTAAGCCGGCATTTTTTACTCCGTTGGAATCTTGGGCATCTCTCCTTTTACCTTATGTCGCCCATTTGAAAATCGTGGCAGGGCGGTGAAGGAGATTTACCAAGTTTAGGCTTAACGACGGTTAAATCGGATCGGACGGTTTTTGTGGCGCCACGTGTGCGGGTCTTGTAACCGTTTAAGGTTAAACCCTAGGGGTAGAATTGTTTTAATTCTGTGGGTATTCTATGTTCTTCGTCAGGGGGATTGATCCATCGTCGTCCACTGCGCCCTCCGGAGCCCTAGCCGCGCTTGGCGACGATCGATGGAGCTGTAAGCTCTGGAGCGCGAGCGATTCCTCCAGCGGTGGCGGCGACCTCTGCAATGTAGTCTCGGCGCCGCATTGTGGCCGCGACGATCTCCGGCGATGTCCAGGGTAAGCATCGCGAGGCGCTCCCGAGAATGCGCGACTGACCGGTAGATTTTACGTTGGAAGATGTGTGGCAGAGCATCGGGTCTCTGACGCAGCGGCGTGAGGAGCAAGACTCCTCTTTCTTTCTTTCTGGATCTAGCGGGATTACCGATCGGCCATGGCAGGCGGCGGCTACCTCACGAATCAGCTGTCCAGGCGCACGGTGATCTTTGGATTCAAGCTATGGGTAGTGCTGGGCATCGCCGTCGGGGCGTTCATCGTCCTCATCCTCTTCTTTCTCTCGATGTGGCTCGTGTCGAGAAAGAAGAACACCGACGACAAATTCCGGCTCCACAACATCCCCAGCGAATCAAAGGAGATCCAGGAGGTCAAGGTCGATCATCACAAGAGGGCGACCAATGGAGGAGGAGGAGTGGCGCTGGCGAGGAGCGTCTCGCCACCGGAGAAGGGGCTGGAGAAGATCATCGTTCACGTCGACTGTGCCGTGGAGGAGGATCGCCACCAAGGCAAACGATTTAGCACCACCACCAGGGGTGGGAAATTCCGGGACAATGCCGCTGGCTACGTGATGCAATCGCTCTCACACCGCGACACACCCGAGAGAGGAAGCCCAGCGAGCGTCTCACACCAGAGTGTGAGTGCTACTCAGATCGAAAAGGAGAGCTCGAGGGGGCTGCCATCAAACCAAGCATCGTCTTCTCCCGATCAAACGCAGCATTCTTCCACTCCGGCAAGCACCGAGAGACTAGCTTCTCCCGGAGCTCGAGGTGGAAGTAAAGCAGCGGAAGTTTCACACTTGGGTTGGGGGCACTGGTACACACTGCGAGAATTGGATGCTGCCACGCACTGCTTTGCGGACTGCAACGTTCTCGGGGAGGGTGGTTATGGGATTGTCTACAAAGGAAAGCTACCGGACGGGACTCCGATTGCCGTCAAGAACTTGCTCAACAACAGGTAGGCCATTTTTTTGTTGTTACTCCGCACTTTACCAATTCTTGTTTGTGCAGAGGACAAGCCGAGAAAGAGTTTAGAGTAGAGGTGGAGGCAATCGGGCGAGTGAGACATAAAAACCTTGTTCGCTTGCTGGGCTACTGCGTTGAAGGCTGTCACAGGTGAGATAGTTTTCCGATTGGACTTTTAGCTGACTTTGAGCTCTGCAAGGATGCTGGTTTACGAGTACGTAGACAATGGGAATCTGGAGCAATGGCTCCACGGGCCAATTTCGAGGACAAAGTCGTTGACGTGGGAGGCAAGGATGAAAATTGTTCTCGGGACTGCCAAAGCGTAAGTCTTTGCCTTATGTTTATTCGACCACCCCGAGTTACTCACAGCTGTTTGATTCGATTGCTTCTCTGCGTGCCAGGTTAGCATATCTGCACGAAGCTTTGGAGCCCAAAGTTGTACATAGGGACATAAAATCAAGCAACATACTCATTGATTCAACTTACAACGCCAGGATATCAGACTTCGGGCTTGCGAAACTCCTGGGAGCTGGCAAGAGCCACGTAACTACAAGAGTCATGGGCACGTTCGGGTATATAACTTAGTACACAAGCATTTCTTCTCTCGACAGTCTCACGAATGGCGCGTGACTCTGATCTTTCCAGATATGTCGCTCCAGAATATGCAAACACAGGATTGCTCAACGAGCGAAGCGACGTGTATAGTTTCGGTGTCCTGCTCATGGAGGTCGTCACCGGAAGAGATCCCGTGGACTATAGCCGGCCTCCTTCAGAGGTACGTACATATAAAATTCACTCTGAGATACCTGTATGACTCTGGATTGCTTGCTCACGACAGGTTAATCTTGTGGACTGGCTGAAGCTCATGGTCGGGCAAAGGCGCTCGGAAGAAGTAGCGGACCCAAACTTGGAGCCCAAACCAGCGTCGCGAGCGCTCAAGCGGGCGTTGCTGGTGGCGCTGCGGTGCGTGGATCCGGACTCGTCGAAGCGGCCCAAGATGGGGCACGTCGTTCACATGCTCGAGGCGGACGAGTACCCGTATCGCGACGTAAGTGCTTGCAATTCTTGTGTCACTGGCAGTGCAGCTAAGATGGTTTCTTTTCCTTGTACTACACACGCAGGACCGGCGAGCGGCAAGTACCACTGCCGCCACAAATCGCCCACCAAAGTCAGCGAGAGGCGTCCATCAAGAGCAGCAGCACTACAGGGCAGCAGAGTTGCGGTCACGGTCGGTATATTAACTCGAAGGTTGTCAAGTTGAGAGGAAAGAAAGAAAAAAAGAGCACAGATCATTCAGGTATAAATCAAAGAGGCTGACAATTTCTGTTGTGGAGACGGTTCCAGGTGATGAATTTGAGAGAGGAGTGTTGTACCACACACATCTGACTCGTTTTTATGGGTTTTGGATCACAACTGTACAATAAAAATGGGCAAGTTCTTGGGCAAATTAAAATAAAAATTGATCACTTTCAAAATATCAGAGTGGTGCAGCGGAAGCGTGGTGGGCCCATAACCCATAAGTCGGAGGATCGAAACCTCCCTCTGATATTAATTGTTAAAAAGTCTTAACTACCATAAGCTTAATTTAATATTTGTCAAATATAACCTGTTTAACTATTTAGGGCTAAAATAATAAACTTTTATTAAAAGGGTTAAGATATTAATCTCGATGAGAATCTAAATTTTAAATTAGAATAAATTGCCAATATTTGAAATTATTCAAGATTCAAACTTCTATCAAGCCTTTGCAACAAATGGATACAGGTTATATACATCGGTTCTTCTTTATTCAAAGTAGTATTTACATATACATCGAGATTTCGAGTTTGGCACATCCTACCTTTATGCAGACCCGATAGCTCGCTTCCTGATAACCTCGGCGAATTCACCAACCTTGTCTGGGCTTGGAGTGGACTTCCTGATCGCTTCCACGGACTTTACGGCGTTCACCCACTTGTGGAGATTGGGCAATTCTTCCGGGCCTGGAAGCACGAATCCTCCCACTTTCTGGTAGCCTTTGAACCAGCAGATGAATGGAGCCAGAGCAACATCTGCAAAGTTCGTTGAATCGCCGCCAAAGAAAGGCTTGCCTGGAGCGATGGTGTCGAGAGCTTCATCGATTTTCATCAAAGCCCACTTCAAGTCCTCGCTGGCTTTTTTGCGCTCCTCCTCGGTGGTAGCTCGTATGAGTCGGCTACCGGCGTCATAGACCTGTTGGTAGTGAGAAACAAGCAACCTGGAAGAAGCAGCAAGTTTACCTTTTTGTCACCAAAGTCTGCCCAGAAGCGAGCCACAGCCTTTTCGTATGGATCTTCCGGGAGGAGCTTGTGAGGATTGGGCCACACACTGTCGATGTAGTCGACGATGATGAGAGACTCGCAGATAGGCTTGCCGTTGTGGATGAGAACCGAAATCTTAGCGTAGATTGGATTTGCCTTGAGAAGCTGCCTCCCGTTAAACACCATCCTGATTCACTCTCTCTCCACTTACTTGGCAGTGACGTGGCATCAGGCACTCCCTCTCCCGTCCGTCGCTGCTGCGCGCCCGCCCGCTCGCCCTCACGGCTCCCGCCCGTGCCCAGCATGCGCCCTAATTACTTCCACGTGGCCACAGCCCCAACACTTAGCCAAATTTCAATCATCGTAACCATAATTGACCTAAAAACTTTTATGATCAAGCATGGCAGCAGCATAAAAGGTAAGCAATCAATTCAATTTAATATTGATTCAAGAAAATCATTTAGGATCCCCCATGGCTTGATAAGGCCATGAAAAGGATTATTTTTGTGTAGATGATTTAAATTGGAATTTGTTTAAAGTAAATGAAATTATAACTCCTATTGTGTATATATTACAAAAGGATGTGAACAAGTTTCTAAATGGTGAAAGGAGAAGGGGTGATGGAGTGGATTTTTGGCAATTTTTTATAATTATTTCAAATCATGTTATATTGGATTAAATCCTCTCAAAAGCAATGAGCTACAATATAACACTTACAATAATAAGATATAAATTTTATAGTAATACTTTTTCTTCAAGATTTTTTTTCTGTTTATTTATTTTGAAAAATTAATAGCAAATTGATAATATTGATTAATAAAAAGTTCTAAAGATTTTTGGATCTGTGAGGTCCAAGTGTATAGTTACGATGTTGTATACTAATATTAATGTAGTGGAATTTTGGTAACTGTCAGATTGGTTTTAATTCAGATTATTCGCTCCTATATATAAACTAGGGTTTTTGGGCTAATTGATATACATATTTATATGTTCTCTTTCCATATTTCAGCACTCATATTGGTGGAGGTGAGGGGTAGTTTTGATTGTCCTTAAAGAATGCTGAGATTTAGGATTTTGGTTTAGATCTAACTTTTGCATTGTTTAAATCTCCTTTTTCTTTTAGTTTTTCTTAACTTCTTCTCTTTTGTTCATTTTTTTTCAGTCATCTTCATGGTAGAGCAGTAGCCTCCTCCTCTTTTTACTCTGGAGTAATAATTAGTGCAATTGCTTAATGCTATGCAGTTGTAGGGTAACAATCAGACTCAGTTAATGGCAACATTTATAGCATGTGGTACAACTCCTCTTGCTCTTGTTGCCAATACTCATGTTTGACCAAAGTTCTTCCATGGAAATCCTAGGGATGATGTGTATTATTAGTTAGGTCACTTCATAGTGATTGCCACATATCATTCTTGGGATAATATTTGATATTTGCATGAGTTTCCTATGTATTTCCAAGGGATGGCATTGCAGTGGTACAATGGTTTGAGTATAGCCACTTATGAGAATTGGAGTATTATCTTTAAACATGCATTTGGACATGTTGACGATTGAGATGATGCCTTTTAAGAATTGCATTATCTTTGTTAAGGGCCATCTGAGTCAGTGATGCAATTTAGAGTTTGTTTCCAAAGCCTCTTACTTTGTGCAAAGCTAAATATATCACAATGGATTAAGTTAGGAATGTTGTGGCTAGCACTTCATCAAGATTTTTGCATGCACTTACTCTAGCCACTCTTGACCATGCCCTTTGCTTAGCACAATATTATGAGATGTCAATTCTTTCAGGTCTCATTGCATGTCTTTTAGCTCAACTTCCTATTAGAGATGGTCATGTTCCAATGTTGCTACTGCCTGAGTTTAAGGACAAAGGCAAGGATGTGGTCATAGCTATGATGTTTGGGCATGTGATGAAGTTGGTCACACTTATTAGCATTGTTAGCATTTTCTAGATTGGTGACTTCCATTTTCTAGGTGAAGATCTTGGCATGAACAATGTTTTATTAATGTTGCTATAATGGAAGATTTGGACACTGAGATACATTTGGAAAATGAGGAGTCAGGTGAGTAGTGGAGGGATCTTGTGTGAATAAGTCAATGACCCTTTCATTTTTTTTTCAAAAGTATCATCAAGGGGTTCACTTGACATTAGTAAATCTAGTGTTTACTTTCCAAACTCATTTTTATAACAAGAGGCTTTATATTATTTTCTTTATGTTAGTTAATACAGGCTTAAGTTTATTTTTTATTGCTTGGCCTGTTACCATCTACATTTGCGTTATATGATAGAGCTAGTTTTCATTCTTTGTAGCAATGGCTATACATATGTATATGCATGGGATAAGGTGGATTTGGTTGTGCATATGGGCAATTTTAAGCTTGAGTTATAGTCATTATGGGTGGTGCCAAGTCAAGCTTTTAACCTCATCCTTGGTATGGATTAGTTGTGGCATAATCATACCAAGTGTGATTTTGAAACTTCCCTCCCTTGTATTATACTTCTTTATATTTCTTTCATTCTTCTCACTTTTTTACCTTTTCATCCCTTTGCTTCTACCTTTGCTTCCATCACTTTTGTCTCTCTATTACTTCCTTCTATGTTTTCGTTTTGTTCCTCTATTCCCTTTTTTAATCCCTCTAATGGTCTTTGTATTGTAGCGGTTAACCGGCTCATGAAGGAGTATGCCGATCTTTTTGAATTTGACCTATCATTTGGGGCCAAGATTGTAACATATCATCCTATTCCAACTAGGGATGCTTGTCCAATCAAAGTTCCTATTTGTTATCGGTCACCCAAAGAGATTAAGATTTTACATACAAATATCATAGAGATGTTGGAAAAGGGTGTTATTTGAAAGTTGTGGAGTCTTTGGGTATATGAATTTTATCTTGTGATGAATCTTAATGGGAGTATTTATTATTGCATCGACTATCGTTTGTTAAATGAAGTGACGATCTCAGATGTATAACCTCTTCCTCGCACTACTAATCTTTTGGATTGTCTAGGGAAAAGTTGTTAATTCACCAAGTTAAATCTTACTTCTAGGTATTAGTAAGTACCGATAATTGAAGAAGATATTCCTAAGACTATTTTTTGTATACCATTTAGTTTTATATAAGTTTTTGATGATGTTGTTTGGTTTGAATAATGCTCTAGAAACTTTATAGCAGATGATGGACAAAGATTTTTGTGATATACCAAAGATGACTCTTGACTTCATCGATAATGCCTTGATTCACTTGAAGAGGATGTGAGAAGAATATATCCGTGATGTTTGTAATGTGTTGGATCAGCTATGGGAAATTGGTTTAAAGGTGAAGCAATTAAAATGCATGTTTGGTTCTAAGGACACGATTTATTTTGGATACCATATTTGTTGTGAAGATTTGCAAATTGATCCTAGAAAACTTGTGATTGTTTTAAAGTTTTATATTCTAAAATGTGTGAATAATATATAATGCTTCTTGAGCAAAGTGTAGTATCTCGATTGTTTTATTGATCATCTTTTGATCACACTGCATTGTTGTAAGTGTTATTGAAGCCATTAACAATCTTTCATTTTGTCTGTGGACTGTGAGTGGGCATTTATGGATGTCAAAGAGGTATTGATGACTCTTCTAATTTTGGCATATCTTAACTATATTCAATTTTTCATTTTGCAAATGGATTCTTTTAATATTGGTTTTAGAGGTACGTTGATACAAAAGAGCCTAAGTGTGTTTGGTCAGTGCCATCCTATTATATATATCAACTGTACATATCATGAATGTGATTTCGGGTATCGAAAGTTACTTATCGGCTAGTCCTTTTGGATATTATTTCCTTACTACCACGACAGTAGGAAGTCAATATTGCTGGATCCTTTATTAGTCTTCACTTAAGCTAGTTGAGAAACTGGTTATCACATGTGCACTTACACCGGAATGGCACTAAGGAAGGAAATCCTAAGTTGTCATTTAGTCAAGCATCCGTCAGTGGTTGTTGAACTTGATGTTTAGTGTTCACAAGGTGTAGAGCAAAATTTACCTTTTCTTACAAAGTTCATAAAGCTCAAACGATTAAGCTATGGATTTATAAGTTTTGCGATGGGTTTGAGAATCCTGCATCACTTGCTGATGACTTGCTATTTCAACATTTACATTCTCAATATTGCTTTAAAGATAATCTTCTATATTTTATGGGGACAAATTCTGATAATCATTTATAGTTGGTGGTGTTTTCGATCTTTATTCCATCCTTTTTCTATACTTATCATGATTCTCCTATTCTAAGTAGGCATATAGGACATCATTGTGTGACCGAGAAGTTACGTAGGTCTTTCTATTGGCCGGCAATGTAATGTGATGTTATTTTGTATGTGCGTAGTTGCATTTGGTGCCAAGCTCATAATACTCCCCCTTGTGTTGTAGAAGGACGGTTGAAATCAAATGTAATTTCCCATCCATTAGAGTTGGTGTCATTTTGTCTAATGGAATCTTTTCCATAATTGATTGCTAGCAATGAGTATGTCATTATTACTTCTGACTACTTCACTTGTTAAATGGAAGTCGATAGATACTTCCTCCTCAATCAAGTGATGTTCTAGTATTCTTATTTGGAGTGGATTTTTTTGGATAATAGTACTACATTTATAGCTGAGGTATTTCATGTTTTAACATCTTAGTATTACTGAGTATAATATTGTTTTATGTATAAGCGTATAAGTCCTCTGTGAGACACAAAATCCCTAGGCCCCAAAGTGGAGCTGGAAAGGGTGCCACGTGGTAGTGGCCGAAGCGAAAACCAAACGAGCATAAGACGTTTGGACTAAAAGTTCCGATTCGAAAGGTCGAAAGCGGGAGTGGAACTCCCAACGAAGTGCTCATGGAACGAGCACGAAGCGAGCAATAAGTGAGGCTCCAAAAAGGGACCCAAAAGGACCAACACATGACACGTGGAAGTCCGAGATGACCCGAGTTGGAATCCGAAGTGGAGTCGAGAAGGACCCCGAGATGGAGTCCGAGGTGGAGTCGAGGTGGACCCGAGATGGATCCAAGATTGAGTCCGAAACGGACCCGAGATGGAGTCTGAGATGGACCTGAAATGGATCCGAGATGGAGTCCAAGATGGAGTCCGAGATGGAGTCCGAGATGGACCTGAGATGGAGTCCGAGATGGACCCGAGGTGGAATCAGAGATGGACCCGAGATGGAGTCCGAGATGGAGTCCAAGATGGACCCGAGATGGAGTCTGAAATGGAGTCCGAGATAGAGTCCAAGATGGACCCGAGATGGGGTCCGAGATGGACACGAGATGGAGTCCGAGATGGAG